GGAGGAGGCATTGCTTGGAGCTGTGTATTCTTGGGTGCAGAATCAGCCTTCCTGCATGCTTTTGAGTTTCTCTTCAGCCTGGGAGACTTTGTAGGCCAACCTGTAAACCAATTTGAGTTATGGGAGTAAGTGATTTGTTTTGCCTGAATGGACCCAAATCCATCACGTACTTGTATGACCCTGTGTTTAACCCAGTAGTAGAAACCATGTACAAAATGGGGCCGTGCAGCCTGGCGGTGACAGATGGCCTGGTGCCCACACAGCGCCATGTTACAGAGCCAAGCTCTGCCACCTGTGGCTCCCGAGCCGCCTGAGCCGCCTGCCGGCGGATGGATATGCGGAGCTGGCAAATGGTGGGTCTCCACCGCCACGCCTGCGGGTCTGCTGCCACCTGCTGCACGAGAGCAGCCAGGCTTTTGCATAAGTGCACAGTGAGAAACCCTGCAGCAGCGTTAAAAATAGGTTACAGTTGGCGACGGCAGCCCTGCCAGCTCAGCGCTGCTTTCTGCCGGGGTGATTTTTGAAGATATATATAGATAGATTTTTTAATGCGCTCTGCGAACAAATAATTTAAAATATTAAAGTTTTTGCAGAAAACAAGCAGTGAGACTTACTGTAAATATTTAAATTGGAGAAGAAAGCCCCAATTTGCTACGCAGTCTGTATTCCACGCAAAAGGAGATTCAGGCTGACTTCTTATGTATTCTTATTTTGTTACATTAAACATTGGTCTAAGAAAGTTACCAAACGTGCTATAAACAATATGAAAGTTTCCCAAATCCTGAAAATGCCCCGATTTTAAATTTTCTGTCTTCATCTTTCGAGTTTCATCCATAATGCACGTGTCTTTGCACCTGAGAAATTCCCTGAGGCACTCTCTGCAGGCCCACGGATGAGGCTGATGGATGGAGTGTCAGCACTGTCTGACCAGCCGGGGCTCCGAGTCCTGGCAGGGCTTCTGCATGTTCATCTGAAAACAGTATCTTGCCATTTCCTTCTCCACCTTCTCCTTAAGTAGCAGTTTTACTTTCATAAAAATTTCACCCAAGAGAAGGTTGCAGAAGAGATCATTCAGAAATTGGGAAGAGGCGTTGGAGAGGTTACAGGAGTAGGCGTTTTCCTCCAAAGGCACTGAAGCAAAATCGTGGATGTTAACTCACTCTCCAGTCTTTATGGAAGTTAGACATTCTCCACTCCCTGCCCTCCCTTCTAACAAACGCAGTTCTTATTGGAATCCTTGTTTCATTTTGGAGCTGACCCTCTCCATTATCCTGCTTTTTAAGTTTAATGTTGATCCGCTTATATGTTATTCCATCTTCATTGCCTTCCGAGCTGTTGCCTGTACCCTTGCAAGACCTCACCATGACCATTTTCTGTTACTGCTTGCATTTGTTGATATTACTCTGATTTGGAATGTTGGTTACAGGTTTCCTCTTTTGTATGCAGTGCGTGTGTTAAATGAGAGGGGATACGGGACTTTTGTTGCGCCCGCCACGTGTTTTTGTCTGGCGTCTGATACCTGCCGTGGGCACCGCACTTTTCTGATCTGGCGGCCTGGCCACGTGGTAGGCAGAAGAGGACAGACATGGAATGGCCCTCTGGTGTTGAGGGCTGTGGAAGCTTTGACTTTGGCTCTGTGGGGCCACCTTAGACTAATTATCGTATCTTTTTTCACTTTATTTTTTAGCGATCAGGCAGTTTGTGATCTCTAATTCAAACCATTTATGTAACTGTCTAACAAAGCACTTGCAGGCGGGTGGGGAAGGCCTGGGAAGCATTGGTGTCTGCCCTTTCTCTACCCTGTTCTCTTCCCCGCCAAAGTGGGTACTGAAATTTCTCTTGCAGATACCGTAAATTACTGCTTACGGTTTTCACTTTTGGAAAGCAAAGAAGCTGAGAGAATTTGGCCATTTTACCAAAAAAAACATCCTTTTGCCCGTTCTGTTTTTCTGTGGTAGGAGCTAGCTGCCGCTGGTGTTCTGAAACCTGAAGTCTGAAAGGTGACTGTGTAGCTTTACCGCCATCTTTCTCAACCCGGGCCGTTGAAAAGCCAGGTTGGCGGCCAGGTCCCTGAGATCCGGCCACACGTTTGATAGCAGAATAGGCTCCCCTTGCGGTTACCTGCTGGGTCGTCCTGTGACAGTGGACGTCACAAGGCAGCCTGCTTCCTCCGTTCGAGGTGGAGCACGTGGCTGGTGATGCCGCCTGGGCGGGTGCACGGTGTTTATGGCGCCAGAGCAGTAAACACTGATATTTCGGAATGCTGTAGAGTTGACATGTGCAGCAGTAATTTCCAGCTTTTCTGTCTGTGACCTGTAGTAAGAAACGCATTTTATACCCTGACCCAGCCCATTCACACCCGTAAGTGTATATAATTGAAAGAAGAGTTCCACAAAACAGTATGTGCCCAAAACAGATATCCCTGTTGGACTTTATTTCATTAAAAAAATTGCTAGTTGATTTCATGACCAAGTTATGGGTTCTGAGCCACATTTAGAAAACCAGTTTTAAAGGAATGCCAAAAACTTGACGTTTAATGTCTCATTCCCCCCCTGCCATGTGAGGTAGGGGGAGGGAAGGCATAGATATGCAAGTATAACATACCTGTTTATTCCACTTGGAAAAGGGGTTAGAAAATTCAGTGTCTAAGTCTGAGCTTTGCAACTTACAAACCATGATGTTCTGAATATGCAACCCCAGCATTTGAGCGTTGGTAGAAGCCTTAAAAACCATCTGGTACAGCTTCTTAACTGTTTAACCTATTTTTTTAATTAAAACTTAAAAATATTCAGTTCCAGTTGACATCCAGTATTAGCATCGGGTGTACAACACAGTGATTAGACATTTGTGTAACTGACAAAGGGATCGCTTCAGCACATCTCACCCGAACATGTGCTAAGAACACACTTGCGGTGTGGAGAGACAGCCTGGAATGGGGTTAAGGTGAGGCCCGGAACTCGAGGTGTGTGTGTGTGTGATCGCCGTGTCCATGAGTGTGAGTGAGCTCCTACTCGTACTGATTTAAGGGTGGTGCCCTGTGAGCCTTCAAGTTCATCACCTGGAAAGGGGGACTGACAACTGATGAAGAAAACAAATGTAGGGTATTTCATGCCCCTCCTGGACTTCATCTTTTAGAAAGGAGAGACATTTTCCTGATTTAGAAGTTTACTGTTCCCTAAGTATCTCAGAGACCGTGTGTCTCTGGAGAGAACTGTGTGCGAATTCTGCCTCTGCCTCTTCCTGGTGGGACCCCTTGGGCAAGTCAGTTAAATGCAGAAACCTGTTTCTTACCTGTAAAGTGGGGTGGAGGCTGCTCCGTGTGGCAGGGAGCCCGCCCAGTGAGAGAAGGCTCCTCCTGGCCTGCCCAGCTCGCCTCTGCAGGAAACACATTTTCTGGTGAGCTCTGCAAGTGTCCCCTGGGGCGCGGCACGAAGAGTCTCACTGGACGGTTGGAAGGGCAGGAGACACACACAGAACAGGGAAGTCCAGGGAGAGATCTGTGGGACACTTGGGCTGAGGTAGGTGGGTTTTTGCCCAACTTTTAAATTCTTTAATGTGCCGTTTTTTCCTGTGTGGCCTTGAAAAGAAACGAGCTGCCACTAGATGGTGCACTGGTCCAGCACCATTCCGACAGTCAGTTACTGTTTGTGAGATTCTTTTCAAAAGACAGGTCACCAGTATGTGGTTTTTTAAATGTGAGTCGTAGTCTATTTTGTCATTTCATTTTAGAAAAGAACAAAGGAAGAAAAATAAAAGTTCAAGATCTATATATTCTCTGGGCTTCGTTTATGGTATAGAGAAAACCCAATTGCATATAATGGGAACGAATACTTTAAGGAAGGAAATAGTCTCCCCCAAAGCCATGTCTTTTTCTTCTTTTTCTTCCTTAACCACTACTGGAAATTTCACTTCTTGGGAAATTTTTAGAATTATGTTCCTTACAGAAGTGTGTTGCTTTTCAACAGATGTGTCTAATGATTGTGTGCGTTTGTGTTTTGATTGTGCGTATGTATATGTGGGTTACATGCAGATCTGGGTGCAGTCAGAAAAAATGGGATGGGCTGGCCATTGATGGGGAAGAGCAAAGGAAGCCCAGCGAGGGGGCGGGCGCTTGGCACAGCCCCTGCCATCCCACCTGCAAGGAGAAAAGTAAGACCAGGCCTTGTATTACAGCGTGTAGGTGGATCTCACGTGGAGGGCAACTCGAATTCTTTCCTGTTTCGACTGAGACTTTGATCTTCACCTGTTCGCTGACAGGTCATCTTTCTTCTTCCCACTCGGCCCCCACACCCCAGCTGTGGGAAAGAAGCTGCACCCCTGTGCGAAGGGCAAGGGGTTGGCACGGGGGCGGCCCTGACACCCACTCTCTCTGCAGCTGTGGCCGGCTGTCAGCATGCTGTCAGGACAGGGACCCTCTCTGCTCCTCGAGACCTCAGTTGGAGCAGCGAGGGCACTGAGCAGCAACAAGGAGATCACCCTGGGCATCTCTTTTTTTAATGTTACAAACAGACCTGTGTCTCGTTGATCCTAATAATAGAGCTGCCGGCATTGGATGTTGGGCGAAGCCCTTCACGACCTCATCTCACTTAGTGTTCATTTCGCATTTGAGTCAGTTAAGGTTTTGAGAGTCCGAGCGGCTGTAGATGGGAGCAGTTAGCGCACTGCGGCTGGCTGCAGGGCCCAGCTGCATCCGTGGAATGGGGGCCATTTAGGAATTGAAGGGCAGTCCTGACCTCACATCTCAGGTTTAGAGGACGTGGGACTCTCCGCTGCTGCTTCATGGGACTTGACCTCCTGACCGTCATCACGTGCTCCCAGACTGAAGGAAACTAGGGGACAACTGTGAAAACCACCGGCTTGGATACTTCCGAGTCGAGAGTTTTGGGAGGGTGAAGGTGGGCAGGGTTGAAGATGTCCTTCTGGTTTCTTCCCGCTCTGTGCTTTCGATGTTTCCAGGGTTGATTCGAGCCTGAGCTGTGTCATTTCTCCCCCTTCCTCAGGGCTTCCTGAAGAACGAGAAGGACAATGCCTTGCTGTCTGCCATCGAGGAGTCCCGGAAGCGGGTAAGACACGCGCCTGCACGTGGACGGTGCACAGCCATGGTGAGGGCAGCGCTGTGTCCCGGCAGCGCCGGTCCGGGCGCTGGAGCCTGCGTGGAAGGCCCAGCGCTCTGACCTGGACAGGGACGCGCCAGAGGGAGCTCTGCAGGGGCTGTTTCTGAGGAAGACGTTGTGCCTGTAGGTCCTTGTGTACTTAGTTAGTGACAGGTGCCTCTGAAACACTGGACTGGTCGGTTATTTATAAATTAATCTTAAACTGGAAGGTCCAGACAATTTTTTAGTTTTGTAGTAAAAAAATGGTATTTTGTTTTCTCTTGAATCAGCAGTTCAGAGGGACAGTTTTGATCACTGATAATTTTTCTCAATTCCCTTCTCCCTCATCACCCAAGTTGACTTTCTGTGCTACAGTTGACATACAATGTATTAGTTTTGGGTGTACAACATAATGATTCAATGTGTGTATTCCTTATACTGGATCACCACGGTAAATCGAGTAACCTTGTTTCACAGTGCAAAGTTATCACGGCAGTACTGACTTTCCTATGCTGTACGTCACAGCTGTCACGTCTGCGGCAATATTTTGCAACAAGCATTCCCTCAAGAAGCTCAGAGATAACTTATTTTACTAACATGTGAATTATCACCATTTGTTTTGGGCAAGGATTAAAAGATCGAAACCTTTCCAGAACTTCCCACTACAGAGTCAGGTTTTCCGCCGGACTCTTTGGGAGGCGGGAGGAAGGTTAGCGAGCGTGTGGAGTTGGTTCTAAAAAGGCAGTTTTTCCCGGGAAGGGGCTGGAGGGCCCGCAGCAGCCCGCCTGCAGGGGGCACGTCCACAGCAGCGAGCGGGCTGCGGGGGGAGCTCTGTGCTGCTGTTTACTTATGTAATCCTCATATGGCGAGAAACACACTTCTGTATTATTTATGGAGAAAGTGATAAGGTGAAAGGCGCCGCTTCTCCGTGTGCTGCACTGCGCCGGCCCACGCGGGCCGAGCTGTCTCAGCTGGGCTGATGGGAGACGGCGTAGCAGGCGGCCCGCGGCTCTGACTCGGAAGAAAATGTTCCAGAGGACTGACATGTTTCATTATTAGAGTACCGTTTCCCAAAATTTAATTCATTATGGTTTTTTGGTGTAAGTGCTTATTTCTATAAATAGGGAAATTCACTTGATTCTAATTCAAAAATATTTTTTAAAGGTTTTTGTTGTTGTTTGTTCACGCTTGGAGTGAGCTACCCACTTTAATTTTCCTGCTGTAAAGGACCGGTGAAATTAACTTAGGTCTGTCGAACGCCACCAAGCCCTATTAATCCACTCACCCCGCGGAACGCGTTGCTGGAGTTGGCAGTCTCCGAACATTGTGCCACACTGAGACTATATGTGCAGCCAGCCAAAACATTTAAGTGACACACCACAGTGCAAAACGTGTACATATGTGTTCGTGAGGGCGCCAGCCTGGGGGGAGACCTGTCACCGGATGGGACCCTGGGATACTGCCACGGAGCAGGAGTCATTTTCAGACAAAGGGGAGCAGCTTCCTGGCATTTTGGTGCTAATTTCACGTTTGAATAACTTGCCAATGTCCTGCTGAAATGCCAAGAAAACAAGCTGCAAAACCACAAATGTGTCCTGTCTTTTCCCGCTTGGTGCCTCCCAGCACAAACAGAACAACATTATCAGAACATATGCAGAGCCTCTAAAAGCCAGCAACAGCTCAGTAATAAGCAGGTGTGAAGTCAGGGCCCATCACCCTCCTCTCTTTATGAAAATGGGGTGCGAGTGCCCCCACCTGGTCTCAGCTCAGTTGCCCAGTTGCCTCCCTGCCTTCCCTTCTTAACTGTGTTCAAAGGGCCATATCTCCACACAGAGCTCGAAAGTTCCAGTTTAACGTCTAATCGTTTCTCTGCTGCCGCGTCATTTTCTGTGGTTTGTCTCGTCTTCCTTTAATTTGAGACCTTCGCACACCCTTCCAGGTTATTCTTTCCTCTTCCTTGGGTTTCTTTCCTTCCCGCTCCTAGTGTTCCCTGCCTCCCAGGTCTGAGTCGGGCGGTTCTGTTGGTTCCCTCGTGCTCTCCAACAGTGAACACCCTCCTGGCGCACCCAGCCATCCGGTGGGTCCGACGTGGGTCTAAAGGGAGTAGGCTGCAATAGGGCAGATGGGTGGCTGATCATGGCTGACGAGCCCACACGTTGGATGTTCCATTACCTGTGATGTAATTAAGAGATGCTGGGGGTGGCACGGTCAAGGGAAGAGAATTTTGACGTTGGGCCATTTATTTTTACTTGAAGCTCTTTATCACACTAACGATGAATGGAACCACAGAGCTGTTCATTCAGGTTATGGGGCTGTTTCTAAATGCGTAGCTGGCACACTTCTCAGATCTAGCTGAGGATCTGAGCCCAGAAAGCTGCCAGTTCCCGGGATACTTCCTGTGCTGCAGAAGCAGGAGTTCTCGGCACACAGGTGGGCAGGCTGATCAATGGGACGGTTCGTCCCCACTGGCTGTCGCCCTGATCCTCACACGACGCTGGAAGTCTGCCCCCACCCAACTCATCGGCAGTGTCCCTCTGGATGGTATGTTGTCTGTTTTCTTCAGTCGCCTTCACTGCTCTGCCATCCTTGTCCCTGAGAAGAACTCTCGTGACACCGTAGTGTCCTGGATCGCACCAGTCCAGTTTGACCAGTGCCCTGCTCGCTGTGGCGAGCTCGGAAGCCCTGCCCCGCCTCACTGCTGCGCACCCTGGGCCTCGTGCCCCCGGCCCTCCGTTCGCCTTGCCGGGAGAGGCTCAGGCTGAGGCCGGTTGGTTCGACCACTAAATAGTATGAGTTTTAGACTAAACTGTGGCTCGCTCATGCATTACTTCTGGACACCTTCTAGAGTGTCCCCTCCCCCACCCCCACGTTTCGGTCCTCACATACTTCTCTCCGTTCAAAATACATGGCAAGAGAAAATGATTTTTCTCCAAGTACCTTTTCAATCCAGGCCCACCGATGGGAGCAGTCCATTCCGCCTGGCTCTCGGGGGGAAAAAAGCCGGCGGAGCACTGTCTTGAGAGTTCCTGGTACACATGTCTCCCTTTGTCTTCCTGGCACCTGTTAGAAAAGGGGTCCGCGGATAGATGGGCCAGAGTCAAACTCGGAAGGTGGCACCCCTCCCTGATTATTTTTGTGTGTCTGCTGTCTCTCTCTTTCACATTTTAAGAAATATTGGTCCTTAGTCGAATATCCCACTTGTAGGAAGAGTATATGTGATTTTTCTAACAGTTTCCAAAGCGCACATGTATGGCTATTATCAGCATAAATTATCTACATTGCCAAAAATAAAGTAGGCGTTACTAATACTCATCCCTTGGGTGCTGCCTAATTAGATGCCAATCCACTTGTAATCAGATTGCAAATGAAATGGCTTTTGGAAAAGTGGGATTAAGCTGATGGAAACCTGCTCTGCCAATTGAAGAATAATAGGCCAAGAACGGTCATGATTCAGTATATTTCCCCCTGAGAGGTTTCACTTTGTCTTTCCTTCCTCTCTCCTCCCTTCCTGACTTGTCTCTTTCTCTCTCTCTCTCTCTCTCTCTCTCTCTCTCTCTCTTTCTTTCGTTCTGTCTCTTTCTCTCATTTTTTTCCCCTCTGAGTGCATGCCTTTGCTTCGGTAACAACTGCCGTGTTAGGAGTGAGTGTTAGGTAGACAGGGGTGGGGTTCACCAGCTGTTTCAGAAGTGACTTTGGGTAAACAGGGAGGAAACCTAACCTTAGAAGGCTGGGTTTGTTTTGTTTTGTTTTGTTTTGTTTTTACCGGTTCGCCCCCGCCTATGAAAATATCACTGTTTCTTTAAAAAAAAATTAAGACACTGGGAGAATCTTTTGTTTTTGTGTTTTCTTATCTTAGATGCTTATTAAATCTTAAGATACCATTGATTTTATAATTCATCATTACATGCACCACAAAGAAAATAAACTGACATGCTATCAATTGTATTATGTAGCCTAATATGAGAGGTTTGAAAAATAGACAGGGTGGGGGCAAAGGAGGTTTACAGTTGTAAGTACGTGAAACAGTTTATTCTTGTATTATTGTCTGCTAATTATTGTATTGTTTTCCATATGAGCAGCTGTGCACCTCCTTTTGCCTCACTCCGTGTTTGTCTTAGTAAGAACATGAAAATATGTTTAGCATCAGTAATCACCAGGGAAATACAAACCAGAGCTGTGAGGTATCACCAAATACCCAGTAGGAGGGCTGCTAGCCCCCAAAACAACGAAGTAGTAAGTATTGAGGAGGACGTAGAGGAATTGGAAACTTTGTGCACTGTTGATGAGATTGTAGAATCCTCGGCCTCAATGGAAACAAGCCCTCAAAAAGTTAAACATGAAGTATCACGTGACCCAGCAGTTCCATTCTGGCTGTGCACCCAGATCAAAAGCCAGAACTTGGAGAGATGGCTGTCCATGCATGTTCGTGGCACCACGGTTCATAATGACCAAAATGTAGAAGCAGCTCGGCACCCGTGGATGGGTAAATGGGCAAGCGCAATATGGGGAATGCATACAGTGGAGTATTATTATCGAGCCTGAAAAAGGAGGGGCGTTCTGCGTGCGCTACAAGGTGGGCGAGCCTTGAAGGCATTACGCCAAGTGAAGTAAGCCCCCCGCAGAAGGACCCAGGCCCTGTGGCTCCACTTCTGGGAGGCAGCCGGGCAGGCCGGGTCCTAGAGGAGCAGCAGCACGGTGGTTGCCAGGGGCTGGGAGGGGGAAGGCCCGGAGCTTCACGGTGCAGTGGGGACAGAGCTTCAGTTCTGCGGGGCGGGAAGCGCCCTGGAGAGGGTGGTGGTGACGGCCGTGCAGCACTGTGCTCAGTGCCCACTGCACCGTCCACTCAAACGTGGTTGGGGTGGTAAATTTTGTTACGTATATTTTACTGCAATTTTTAAACCTTTCTCATGTGTGAGACTTAATGAAATAGGGTATGTTGTGAACAGCCGTCAGTGAACTCTTCGAGGGTAATTTTTCCAGGTAATTGCTTTTCCTGTACAAATGGAAGGGTGGGAGATCGGGGGGCTTACAGGACACCGTGTGCTTTGTTTTTCCGCTCGGGCCGCCTGTCCCTGCTCGTCCCCGGCAGACCTTTGGCATGGCCGAGGAGTACCACCGGGAGTCCATGCTGGTCGAGTGGGAGCAGGTGAAGCAGCGCATTCTGCACACGCTGCTGGCGTCGGGAGAGGATGCCCTCGACTTTACTCAAGAAAGCGAGGTAGGTCGAGTCCAGGAGATAAACCACTGTTAATAAAATGCGAGGTCAACCAGTGTTTACCTGCCTGATCGGGGCCACCCTGGCACAGCCCACCCCCGCCTCCCCTGGACACACTGTCGTTGTTGCCCCCACCCCTTCACCCCCATCTGCCTGGACCGCCTCCAGCATGTCTGGCGGCGGCTGCTCAGCTTCCTTTGCTGAGCTGCCCTCTGGCTGTTTGAGTGTCCCAGGGCTCAGCCTTTGCCCTGCCGTTTCCCCCTCAGTCACTGCCCCTTGGTCTTGTCTGCACTTGTGGCTTCAAATACCATCTGTCTGCTGAAGACTCAGGCACACGCCGCAGCCCCAGGTCCAGCCTCCTTGACCCTGCGGCCTTTGCGGCTCTGCCTGGACGTCTCAGACGGTCCCGAGCTGCACACGTCCAGGACTGAGTCAAGGTGGCAGCCGCCCGCCACGTCCTTCCTGGCGCCAGCCTCCTCCTCAGAGTTTATCATCTTTATATATGGCCATTGTGGTTTTTCACTCACTCAGATCCGAAACCTCAGATTTACTTCTGTCCTCTCCTCCTACCTCATCTCACAGACACCGGTAAATGCAGTTTAACCCTCCTCTCAAAACGTACCCAGAACCCAGCTGCGCCTTAGCACCCCCACTGTTAGCACTCCAGTCCAAACACCGTCAGCTCTTGCCCTGGTTTTTGAACCAGCCCAGCTGGTTATGTTAGTTACCTGTTGCCACATAGCACATCACTCCGAACCACAGCGGCTGAACATGGCATTTGCCTCAGCTGAGTAGTTCTGCTCAGGGTCTCTGGACACTGCTGTCAGGGTGCTGGCCGAGGCCACACTCACCTCCAGGCCCAGTTCAGCACAGATCCACTCCCGAGTTCACTCATGTGGCTCTTGGCTCAGGGGCATCAGTGTCCTGCCACCTGGGTCTCCCAGTTGGTTGTGCTGCTCACAACCTAACTTACTTCCGCTGGGGCAAGAGTGAGGGATCCGAGGGGCACCGAGTACCCGCAGCAGGAACCCACAGTCTTTGCATAGCTTAGCCGTGGAAGTCCTATCCTATCCCCTCTGTCCAAATCCAGAGTCGTTAAACCACTAATCCAGCCTGCCCTCAAGGGGAGAGGGCCGCACAAGGGCTGGACTCCCAGGAGGTGGGAATTATAGGGACCATCTCAGAGGTCGCCGACCCCCTGGGCTCCCCACCTTTGCCCTGTGCAACCTCTTAACACAGTGGTCAGAGTAACACTATTAAAACACGGGCTACATTGAGTCTCTCCTCTGCTCGGGACCCTCCTGTCTCACTTGCAGTGAGAGCCAGAGTCTTCTCCGTGGCCTGCAAGTCCCTACCGGACCGGTCTTCTTGCCTGTCCAGCTCCCTGTGTTTACTGCTCTTCCCATTGCTCTTGCTGCTGCCACCACCGCAGCTCCTGCAGGTCCCTCAAACAAGCCTGCAGGTCCCTCAAACGAGCCTGCAGGCTTGCTTCTGCCTCGGGTTCTCTGTGCTCCCTGTTGCTTCGGCCTAGGTTGCTGTCCCCCAGATAACCACATGGCGTCGCCCTCAAATGGCTTTTCCCTCCAGGGCCCCCCAGTGCCGTCTCCCTGCGGCCTGGGCCTGCCGAGGGCTTGCTCTGCGCAGCCCAAGCCAACCGCTTCCTGCTCGGCACTTCCTCTATCCCTTTTTTTGCTGTTTTTCTTCTTAGCACTTCCTTCCATACACCATTGTGTATGTTTTATGTCTTTATACCACTTACTGTTTGTTTCTGTCATTAGAATATAGTGATTGATGGTTGTGCTAGGTCGAGCGTTTTCTCCTCTCAAAAAAATCTAATTTTAAAAAATGGCCGTGCGTTTCAGGAATTAAAGTGCCCTGTCCCTGAAAGCCTCTTCCCTCCCCCTTCCGCCTCCCCCAAGGGCAGTCACTGTTGCTACTTTCTTGTACAAATTTCCAGTGTGTCTCTTTTTTTTATAAAGGTTTTATTTATTTTTAGAGGGAGGGGAAGGGAAGGAGAAAGAGAGGGAAACATCAATATGTGGTTGTCTCTCGCACATCCCCTACTGAGGATCTGGCCTGCAACCCAGGCATGTGCCCTGATTGGGAATCGAACCAGCGACCCTTTGGTTCTCAGGCCAGCTCTCAATCCACTGAGCCACACCAGCCAGGACTCCATTGTGTCTTAATACAGATACAGGTATATGACACTATACATTCTTATCCCCCCTCCATCTTACACAAAAGTCAGCTCACTGTATGTTCTGTATCTCGCTTTTTGCACTGAATATATTCTAGAGACTTTTCCTGAGAGGGATTTTGAGCTGCACCTTGGGGTCAGCAGGCAGAGTGTCTTGCTTGATCGGCGATGCCAGCCCTGTGCTGGGAAGCCGTGGCTACGCACACATTCCTGCTCTGGTGCCAGGAGAGCCCAGCCCTGGCCGCGGGTCCTGCCTCCACCACTGACTAGTTCGGAGACTGCTCTGGGCTGTTTAACCCTGCAGACCTTCCGTGTCCTCACTGGGGAAATGAGATTATTGGGAAAGTCAGTGATCATGTAAAGTGACTGACCCATAATGGCCATCCTTTACTATTTTTTTAAATAGTTTCAGAGCATTTAGAGGTGCAGATTAACAATTATAATGTTATAAAAATTACAGTGTTAGATGTTTCAAATACTTTTACCAATGCTTCCTGCTGAGTCTTTTCCAGAAGTCATTCTATGGTTAGCAAGCATTCTTTTCTCACGAGAGAGAGGACCACGGAGACTCGGAGAGGCGTGCGTCGTGCTGGTGAGACCCGGGCTGTGGGCCTCCTCAAGGCCACGGTGCTGCTGGAGTCTGGTGCAGGGGGGCGGCTCGGCAGTTTGTCGTGCCTGCGGGATAACTTCGCTGGTCCCACATCTGCAGATTCGCTTCTGATTTAAAAAACCAGTTTTCCTGTCGAGTTGGCCCCCAGACAGGTAGGCGCTGAAGCCAGTCGCCTTGGGAGATTGCGCCCTGAGGCCGGCTCCACAGTCCCCGACTCAGAGGCACCAAAGATGCGGGTCCGAGCCTCTGGGGAAGAAGAGCCAACTCATGAAACCCTCGGTCAGTCGGACGTTCCTCAGTTTCTCGTGAGTCTGGGCAGATAATAGAGCAGCTCGTGGTTTTATAAACTTCGTGTTTTAAAACGGTGTTAATAGGTTGTGGTCTGTATTGGGATTTGGAAGTAATTATAAGCTGCTAATGAGATATTCTTTCTTGATTGTTCTCTTAAAAATAGACCAATCTATTTAGCAGACTCTTCTTCCTTGACCTCAAGTCCCCTCAGGAGGGAGTTACCCGCACTTTTGCGTTTCTTCATTGTGCCCCCCAGCAGAGCAGAAGCTGGTGCGTGGTTTTCCCCAGGGACTTGCCACTCCTCAGACCGCTGTGGGTGTGTCGTTTGGAACGTTTTTCCTGAAGTGTAACGTGCACGGAAAAGCCCCATCATAAGTGCACGACTCAGTGAGTGATCACAAATGGAACGCGCCCAGGTGCAGAAGCGGCACCACCAGCACCCAGGAGTCCTCCTGGTGTGCCTGTCCCGTCGCTGCCCGCACCACCTCCCACCGGGGGCCGCGTCGGGACTGCTAACACCGTAGGCTGGTCTCCCTGCTCGTTAACTTGTGTGGATGGAGTCACGCAGTGTGTGCTCCTGTTTCTGCTCAGCGGTCTGCCTGTCGTTACTGCAGCTGCGGGCCTTCATCCCGCGGCCGACCGGTGTCACTGCAGTCTGTGTGTGCCTTCTGGTGTTGACGGACCCTTCAGGTGGTTCCCACTTCAGGGCTTTTATGAAGAGCGAGCGCCGTGGTGGCCAGTCTCATGTGTGTGTTTCAGTGCACGTGGTTGCTTCTCTGTCTGGTACACCCGAGAGGGACCACCTGGCTCAGGGCACGTGTGCAGCTCCTGCCAAGTACTTTGCCAAAGGGCTTGCACCAGTGGGCCCTCGGACCAGCAGGGTGCGAGAGTTCCATTGACCCCAGATTGTTGCCTTGCTTCGTGTGTCTTGTCTTCATGTTCAGCTTTTCTGGTGGGTGCGTGGCATCATGTGTTTTTACCGGCTTTGTCCATGTAACTTTCTTCAACGTGATGGGAAGGTGACATTACCTCCATTTGGGCAGGAACCCGTGTAGTGTGAAGGCCAGGCACAGGCGCCGAAACCCTGCAGCCCGGGGCTCCCCGCTGGTTCCTTATTGTCAAGGCCTCTCCTGAAGGCCTGTCTGTCGGAAGGAGCGTAGGAAGCGCCTCCCCGCCCAGTGCTGGCGCTGGGCTCACACTCAGCTCATCCCAGCAGTTCGCGGAGCTCCACGCTGTTCGGTTCATTTTAATCGTTTTCCGAAGGACCTGCGCCTTTGTAAGTGTTGATCGCTGGGAATCTTATTCCCAGTTGGTGGTGGTTGGAATTCAGAGTCATCAGGACGGAGGCTTCTATTCTATTCATGTTGAGCTGACCTTACATTTGAAGGAAAATGTCCAAAGTAGGATAATTTAATATAAAGAGAGACTTAAGGAAGTTTCTTTGAAAGCTAAAGTGAACTAGGATACGGTGCTTCCTGAAACGTTCGTGTTGTCTGTCCCACGCCCCCCCGCGCCTTCTGATCGTAGGAGAGCAACGACGCGTTGCTGAGACCTGTTCCTGGCGAGTTCTAATGCGGGAGATGCTGGTTCCGTGGCACAAATGCAATCTGGGAAATTAATTTCCTTAGGATATCATTGAGGACAGAGGTATAATATTTAAAGGACGGTAGAAATTGGAAGGTCACTGATAACCGTTCAGGTTTTTGCTTTGAAGCGAGAAAGAGGCTCCTGGCAAAGAACCCGAGACAGAGGAGCGTGCCGCCCCCAGGGCCCCCCCAGCACCCGGGGCGCATTCCCTGAGTCTGTTCTCGTCAGCTGGTTCCAGACAGACACGCACCATTCATCTCCTGTATTAGACTCTTCACTGTGGCATTGTGTTTCCATTTCGTAAAAAACTTACTTCGGGGTCTTTTTTAGGTCAGTACATGGAAATGTCTGTCGTTTCTTAGCGGCCGTAACTGGTTTCACCACATAAAGGGCCTGCGTTTTCTTCTCATTTTATGCGTGAAGTGCATGCAAGGCTACAGAGAAGGTCGTGCCGTTGGGTTGCGTGTAGAACCTGGGTCTTCTGGTTCCCAGTTGGTGGGTTTTTTGGTTTTGCTTCGTCTTTCTCTCTGGCAGTGCTGGTTTCTGTGCGTAGGTTTTGTAGCCAGCTTTGTAAATGAATCGCTTTGGTTCGCTTGTGCTCCCGTAAAGCCAAAACATCCCACTCGGAAATTGAAGACCGCCTTTCCTCTCTAACGCCGCATCCTCTCCTCTTTCCCCTGTCGTGCAAGGGGCCCTCCCACACTGACCAGTGTGTTCCCACACTGACCCGGGCCTCCCTGACCAGAAGGCGCCCTCCTTGGGAAAGGGTTTATTCGTCCCTGGGTATGCTGCGTACAAAAGCAGTCGCTTCGTAAAAGCTCGCAGCCTCCCCTGCCACTCTGCAGCCACGCCCCCCCTGTTCTGGAACGCGCTCTGAGAACAAGTTTTGGGAACCCCGTCTGCTCTGAGAAGACCTTTGTGTGGCTCTGCTCCCCGAGTCGCTGTTTCTCCCCAGATCCCTGGACTCCTGGGTGAGCCCCTGGGCTCCCCCGGCCCTGCCCCCCACCTTGCCTGCCTTTCTGGTCTCAGGGTCCCTGCTCCTGTCACCTGGCCCCCGTGAAGAGGAACCCACAGGTCTGTGGAGATGGAATGTCTGGCTCCACGGCACAGCAGCAGCTGGCCCTCCAGCTGCCCCTGGCTCTGAGATCCCAGCGAAGGCTGGCTGGGCCCTCTGTGCACACACACTTCCTGTCGACGGGCAGTTGGCCCTCTGCGTGCCAGGCAGAGGCCAAGGGCAAGTGAAGGAAAGGCGCTGTGAAAACAAGAGCATTAAACAAAATTAATTTAAATGGAAATCGGAAGCCTGAAAACCAACTACTTTTTAAATGCATCATTTTTAAAATTGGGTCTTTAGTACTGGAAAATATTTCTCGAGGCTGTTCACATATATTTAGCCGAAACGGCTATGTCCTTGCAGAGATGTTTCAGGGCTGTTCCCCTTTCCTGACCCTCTCCCTTTCCCCCAGTCAGGTTACTGGCACTAACAGGCTTAGTGTTCTGTTCTTTCAAAAGGCTTTCGGTGGGGAGGTCTCTCCCAGAAGGGCGGCTGTGTTAGAGGGCAGCCCTCGCGCGGCGTGACCGGGAACGCTCCGCATCGGCCCAGCAGGGAGAGTGAGCCGTTGACACGAGGACAGCGTGTTCGTCATAGGGACGGGGGACGAGAGTTCAGCACAGAGTCAAATGTGTTAGGTTCCCTTTCTGTGGCGTCCGTGCCTGTCTGTCGTCGTTTAGTTCAGGATTCCTTTCCATGTTCGTCGTGGTGGCTTGTTTTTTGTTCAAAAAGTGGAAACAGCGTTTATTGGCCAAGGTCCGGGCGCCACCCTGAGCCCTTGCTACTTAGTTTCTCGACAGTATTGGGAGGCCTGTTTTCTGTCCTGTTCAGTCTTCATCACACACCTGTGAGGTGCATCTCGTCACTGCCCCATTTGACAGCAGAGGAAACTGAGGCCCGAAGGAAGAGCTGCACTCGAATCAGGGTCACATAGCTAGTGAGTGGCGGAGCCGGGTTTCTGACCACTGCTGTTCTCTGATGGCCAGGCTTGAGAGGTCGCCCCACGGCTGCACTGGTTGCTGTCGGAGTGACCTTGGCCAGGTTGCTCTCTGTGTGCCCTGGCGTCTTCATCTGTGAAACGACACGGTGTGAGTTCCTATCTCAGCATCGCGGAGTTGACACGTGGACAGTAGGGCGGGGCTCGGCGTGTAGTAGGTGCTCAGTGAGTGTAGTCAGCGTTATTTTAACCTGGTGGTTTTCCGGAATCCCGTGTCTCAGATAGGAATGCCCTTCGGATGTATATTTAACTCAATGTGCCAGACTGGGAGCTAGCAGTGGGTGGAGATGAGAGGGAGGGATTTGGAACAGCCTTTGGGTCAGCCGGCCAGCCGGCAGCATCTGCCCAGGTCAGTGAAGTGCTCAAACTTCTAACACCGGTGGCTGAAGAAAGTCGGAGCTGAGGAGGGCCCCTCGAGGTCGTCTGGGACCACCTTTCACTCACCTGACGGGTCTCCGGGGAAATGTGCGACGCACCGAAGCCAGGGAGACACCGGCCCTCCTGGAGCCCAGGCCCCCCCCTCGGTCCCCAGCCCCTCTCTCCTTTTCCCTGCCCCCAGTGCGAGCTCACGCCAGTCTGTCTGTCACCAGCCCGCCCAGTGCTAGGAAGTTTCACTGCAATCTTCTGGTTTCCTAGGAAGCCTACTTTAAACTGCTTTGTTTTAGATTTTAGAGAATGGAGCATTGTTTTTTTTTAAAGTTTTTTTAATGATGGAAGCATTAAAAAATGTCGTTTCTGCTATAGTACAGTACAAGTTAATAATATACTAGAAGTATAAGACCATACCTGTAGGGTACACCTAATTTTGATCCATATGTGTTTACAGTAGGGAAGCTTAGCTAAAGATTAACTTCAGCCTTTTAGAAACAAAAAGACTGCTAAGCTTTTTCATCTATCTGTGTCTAACCGTCTCCAGGAGACGGTAAGGGCCTTGAGGACAGGCGCTGTGGCCTGGCTCGCCATCATCTCTTTGGGGAGAGCTGTCACACAGCTGCGCCCATGGCAGGCAGACACTTGGCAGGTGTTCACAGCACAATGGAATGGCTTCCGACCCAGACCAGCTCCCTAGCGCCAGAGGCAGGAAACACATCACCAGCGTTTGTCTCGGCGTGGGCTCTAGACTGGTAGTGTCTGAATCCAGTGCCACGACTCCACAGGTCCATTCCCTCAGCCGTGTGACTTTGAGTTGACTGAGTCCCACGAGTCCCTTCTCATGTTCATGATAAGAAAGTTGCTTTCTGTTGAAACCCCTAAAATGGTCATCTGGAAGTCTGACCAGGAAACAGACTCCTGGCAGCTTCTCTTTGTTAAAGACGAGCACATGCCCTGACCGGTGTGGCTCCGTGGTTTGGGTGTCGTCCTGTGCACTGGAAGGTCACCCACCAGTTTGATTCCCAGTCTGGGCACCTGCCTGGAATGCAGGCCAGGTCCCCAGTAGGGGGCGTGCAAGAGGCAACCAATCCATGTTTCTTTCCCTTTCTCCCTTTCTTCCCCTCTCTAAAAATAAATAAATAAACAAAATCATATTTAAGAAAGACAAGCATGTGTTCATATGAGTCTTCGTTCATGCGACTGAATGATTTCTTAACCAGTTCCTGATGTGTGTCTGCCTACAGCCCAGCTACGTCAGTGACGGGGCGCCCCCCGGCCGCAGCTCTCTGGACAGCACGGAGATGGCCTACGCCCGGCAGGTGAGCGTGCTACCCGGGAGGGCCGAGTCCGGGGACGCGACAGGGGCCTTCTGGGGAGTAAGAGGAAACGAAGACCTCCGTCCCATGAAAGTCCAACCCTGGAGGCCAGTTGGCTTTTCATTCAGAGGACTGGTTAATATTCCACCATCCAGGCTCTCAGAGAATGCCGTCAGATTCTCTAATACACCGACTCCTGTTCGATTCAGGGTAATTGAAACCTGCCTCTGCACTGACTGGGGCGCCTTGTTTTGCATTTGGCAATGACCCATGTACAGTGAGGCCTTCAGTAACCTCACTGCTTAGCAAATGGCGTTCTCTATTAACTGGAGTACCTGTAGGCTGATGATATTATCAGAAATCCATCTTCACCCCTTGTTGTTGAGAAATTCTCTAAATGCATTTCTGCTTGGTAAGTACCGTGTACTCATAACTACCTCCTGTTGCTGCCCTGGGTGAGCTTCCACTGTTGGGGACTGTGGTTCCGGCCGGGCACTGTGGCCCTGCAGGCATGCGGGTGCAGATGGAGCTGCTCTGCGGTGAGCACAGGGACATTGGACTGAAAGGGCCCTGGGGACAGTACCACCTGGGCGGACTTTTTGAGTAAAGTGGTCTGGCCCCCTGTCTGGTTTTTTCCAGTTTGCCACTTCCCCACACGGAATGTCAGGACGGCAAAATGACCTTGTTTCTTGAATTGAGGGTGGCCGGCTTCCATCCCTCTTACGCCCCTTGTTAAGAACTTTCTAGGTGGTTTTTTTTTTAAGTCTTAGTGTTCCATTGCCACTTCTAACCAGGCACCTGCATCCGTAGCATCTGCTTCCTGCACACGAGTCCCCTCCTTCCACATCCCTCAGGCTTTACCACTGCACCCTCACTGCTTTGCTTATGCTGCAGTATAAGGTCCCTCCCTCACTACATCCACATCCTTTAAATTTCACTTCTGTGGTGTGGAGGACTCCTTCCATTGCCATGGCTACTACCAGAGTTCAAGCCTAATAAATGACCGTCCAAGGAGAGAAACCACGTATCTTCCGTGTCTGTGAGGTTGAAGCCCTCATAGAGCTAACATTTTCTAGCACAAAGGACACCACAGTGTCACGTAGCTGCTTACATGGCTGTCCCCTCCGGTGGAAGTGAGTCTTGCGTCCCATGTTGAACGCCGTGCCTTGAGAAGAAAGGGAAGGCCCTGGGTGGATAAACACCACCGTACCGTTCAAAGCCCAGTTTATTTCATGTACGATGCCCCCGGAGGCTGCGTGACGGGGCACCTGTTTATCCAGCGTCACCACCTGTTCAGTCCCTGGGAGAGCAAGGACCTCGGGTGTGAAGACTAGAACTTACTAGTTTTTACCCTCATTATTTAGCTCTTTTTAAGTAAAATTCAAAGTAGTAGTGATTTTTCCACACCTGAAACCTCACACAGTTCCTTTCTCTCGAGAACATTTACCAAGGAGAAGGGGGCCCTGGGAATGTGCAGTAACGGCCGTTCCCGCCCGTGGGGCGCCGCCACCTGGCCCTCCTTTACTCAGCCCAGTGGCCCTGGGCCCGGGCCTGTTCCGTCCTTTTGCTGAAAGGCTACCAGTCTCGGGTTCTTAGGAAACAGCCCTGGGAGCCCTTCCATTGTCCGTCTCCCCTTTGGGTCCTTCACTGGGACCGAGGGCAAGGACTGAGGGCGTGCTGGGCAGAGAGTACGGAAGGGCCTGTGGTACTCTCCGCCGCCCGGGACCCCCAGCTCCTGTTCCTCGGGGGTCCGGAAGGCTGGGGTAGCCGTGAGCGCTGGTTTGTCGGTGCTGCAGCCGCAGAGCTGGCAAGCTGGCTGGAGGCCTCGCCTGCCCAGTGGCATGGACAGGAAGAAGGGAAGGCCAGCCGAGGCTCGGCTGACCCCTGGGCAGAAACTGGCTCCAGCGCTGCTCTAAGAGGCCTGGAAAAGAAGAGCTGCAGCTAGAAATGGGCCCCTGACTCTGTGTTCCGCGGTTTCAGATTTATATCTATAACGAGAAGATTGTGAGCGGGCACCTGCAGCCCAACCTCGTGGACCTCTGCGCTTCGGCCGCGGAGCTGGATGATAAGGTAGGGCCCGGGGCTGCCCGGCGTCTGGGCAGGTGCTCCTGTGGGATGAGCTCTTGGACTCGGCAGGGATGGGCTGAGGAGACACTCTGTTGCATGGAATAAAACGTTAACTGCTCCTCGGAGTTTTATCGTAAACGCTTTCAGGGTGGTTTTCCAAGGGTGGTTCTCCACATGCATGTTTGACGCGCCTTCAGAAGGCTTTCCCAGGATCAGCTGTTGGCCACCAGAGTTCTTGGGCTGGTTTTGCTTTGAAGTCCTGTCTGGCTTCGGCCCCTCCCTCACCTGAGTCCCTCCTTCCACAGACTGACTGGCTCTTTAAGGACAGTGAGTTGTAACAGCGATGTGGTCTTCACGCCCGTGAGCCCCTTGAACTTGATTCTGGTGGGGTCTTTAGGAGCATTCTTCATGTGCTGCTGGTTCCGTTCCTCTCTGACTCCCTGCCTTTCAGTTTATTCCCATCTCTCCGTTCTTATGCCTGGACAGTGGCCTCCCCCAGGAAGGAGAGAGAGAGAGCGGATGGATGAGTCGGTGGAGCCAGGAGGAAGGAGGGAGGGCGGCAGCATATAATGGGAGCAGGCGCTCACACTCAGATTTTTTTTTCCTCCAGAAGTGCATCCTTTATTATTATTTTGTTAACAGTAAAATATAAGGCAATACAGACAGATTTAAGGAGAAAGTAAGAATTCACCAACCATCTCATAAGCCAGAAACAGTCGCGTTTGGGTGGACTTTCTACAGTTTTAATTTTTGAGAGGGACAATAAAGACAGGATTTTCTCTTTTCCTTTGGAAAAAGTGTAAACTTGCTTTTCTCCAATCAGTGCAATTCGCAATTTTAGGAAACTGCAGAGGTTCAGGGGACACCTTTTTAAGGAGGGATTTGCCACCAGGAGGGCCCTGGGGAGAGGGCGTCCCAGCTGGTGGTGGTGACAGAGGAGGGAATGCCTGTTCTGTGCTGGGAGGCGGTCACCGGGGCATCTTTCGAAGGCACCGGGTGGGAAGGGAAATGGGAGGCTGGGACACTCCCAAAGTGGGGGAAGGGCAGTGGCCCCCGGAGAGTCTCTGGGAGAGAAAACATACTATTTAGGTTAAACTCTTATTTTAAGCTTTTAAAAAACTGAAAATACCTTGTAAGGACCGGAATGCAGCTACTTGAGTTCACAGTCCTGGAGCGCTGGACCATTATAAATGCGTTTGCTCTCTCAAGGAATATACCCCACTGAGATTCAGTGTTCTCGTTACTTCTGCTCGGTCTTAATCATGCAGACTGGGAGCAGTCATCCACGTGAAACCCGACTTGGGCCGGGGTGCGGGGCAGAGGTGCATCCTCTGGGCTGGGCGTACCCGGGGGGTCCCCCGGACCACGTTAACCTCTCCCCCTCCGTACCCCACCCTCCCGTTAAGTCAGAGAGCGCAAGGAGCCGGGCGGGCTCTGCAGCCTCACGGCACTGTCCTGTGCGGTCTCGTTTCTATGCAGAACATCTCGGACATGTGGGCCATGGTGAAGCAAATGACCGACGTGCTGTTGGCACCGGCAACGGACGCCCTGAAGAGCCGCAGCAGCGTGGAAGTGCGCATGGAGCTGGTCAGGCAGGCCCTGGGGTACCTGGAGCAGAGGTGAGGCGGCGGGGGCACGGAGCCCCTCGTGTCTCGCGTGTCAGGTTGTCCCCAGGCTCGGCGCCCGTCACCGGCACAGTGCAGACGAGGCCGAGCAGGGCGGAGGGATGCCCCTCTGGTCCCAAGACTTCTCTGCCGGGCCTGGTTCTGCAGCGATGCGGAGTCGTGGGAGGCAGGGCACTGTCCGACTCCTCTTCCTCCTCCTCCGCACTCGTCCCTTCAAACAGCAACATCGTGCTGATCAGGCCTTTTCAATCAAGATCCGGTTCCCTGACGTGGTTCAGCCTCTACTCCTGAGGCTCTTCTGTTTCTCCTGGCGTTTTCATTCCTGCGCCCGGCGAACTTGCTGCCTCCGAACCTCAGGAAAGGCCCTCCACCCTTTGCTTTCCTTCTGGCTCTGTCCCACTGATCCCTGTGAGTCTGGGTCCTTCCCAGCTGCCGGAGCCGTGATGTGTGCCTGGGTTTCTCTGCCACCCCCTCACTAATTGGACCTGGTCGCTACGGGGGTTGTGGCTGTGCCCTAACTATTGTCCCCTTCGCTGGTAGGGCTGCTGCCATTCGTCCCTCCCTGCGGACACTTCTTCCAGCGCTGAATCGGCCAGTGGGGGTTGTCATGAGTGTGCAGCAGACCCTCTTTATCTCAGAGACCGGTGCTGAGCCCCTGTGCTGGCTCAGGAAGGAAAGCCACGTTGAATACACCTGCTGAATTCAGCCCTCGGCCCCTGGGCCTGTGCAGCCACCAGCGGCCTTGCAGTGTGGCCGCCCATTATCAACGAAATGATGCTTCATTCAGAACTCGTAAAACTTCCCGTGTGTGACTGAGGCGGTTCCGGCCCGGTACAGCAGAGACTACGTTTTTATACCAAATACTCAATTAATTATATAGTAGCTATGTGAGAGGGTCACCATCAGACAAGTCAAACTCACTGCCTCCACTCCTGTTAAGTAAAATTTGGAATCCCCTGTGGCACGGCCACAAAAGAGTTTATGAAATATTTCATCTGGCTTCGGGCTAAATTTTTGTAACATCAGTTTAGAGTATCGATCTTGAGCCATAGAGAATCTAATGGTGTAGTAGTATTTATTTGCTACAGTTCAGCAAAATGAGTCAGAATTTCTTACCACGTAGGACTTTTTTTTATGGGTACGTAGGTATGGCTGCTTTTTTCTTAAACCCAATTCCTGATATTGGTGCTCGACTTCCCCAGTGGTACCAGGCTGCATTCCTTGGCTTTAAAGCTGGCTTTAAGGCTGTCCTGTTTTCAAAAATTATTCTTTTGATTTCTTTTTCAGAATTATCTTGCCCCATTAATTCCTTTAGCAGCACGTGGAGCTGTTTGGGAAGTTCCCGGCCACAGTTATTGCGACCTTATTTTCTCTTTCCCTCCGGCGGCATCACTTCCTGCTGGCACTCTTTTTAAGGATTCCTTGTTACTTTTTGATCAAAGGAATACTGTAGAATAATTATCTCACTTTTAAAGCATTTTGGCTGATGCTGATCCACTGACAGTGGGGGGTGGGTGTGGACAAAATGGGCAGCGGGGGGACAAAATGTACACACTTGCAGTTCCCAAGTCAGTCCGACTTGGGATGGAGCAGCACGGTGCCCGCAGTTAGTGGCCGCGCCTGCGTGTGTGAGCGCAGCTGGGAGAGCGGGTCTTCGAAGTTCTCGTCACAAGAAAAAGTCCTGTGACTGTGTGTGGTGGCGGGTGGTGGCTAGACCCGTGTGGTCATTTCACAAACACCAAATCATCAGGCTGTGCCCCAGGGGTAGCATCACACTGTGTCATTTGTACCCCAATTAAAATAGAAATTTGAGGATGGGTTATATCTTCAGTGCTAACAGTTACTAATGTTGAGTTTCTTGGTGTCGTAATGGCATTGAGGTTAGGTAGGAGAATGTCTTAGTTTTTAGGAGATACCTGGTGAGGTATTTATAGATGAAATAGTCCCTACTTTCTATATTTCTAATAACCTTTTTAAATTCTTAAGAAGAGAACTGTATACATGTGCGTGTGTGTGTGTGTATCTATAGATAGAGAATGAGAGAAAATGGGCACACGAATGATAACAGTGTGCGAATCTAGGTCAAGGGAGGTAGAGCATTCATTGGACTATTCTTTTGAATTTTTGTAGGTTGAAATTTTTCCAAAGAGAAACGAACCCACTAGAACCTTAGGCTGTGAGCTGGAGCAATCACTGTTCCGCACATTAGCCCCGATGCGTTTGAAGCCCACGGTTATATTTATATTTCTCCAGGGGTTCTTTCGAGCGCCTACAGGGATGAGCAGTCTTTGCAGCGACCCACTGCCCGCTGAGTGAACACTGCAGTTTGCTTCACTGACTGTGTGCGGTCCCCTCTCTGTGCCGGGGGGACAGTCCAGCCCCTGCCCTGCGGAGTCCGCTGTGGGTGTGGCAGAGACATGTATTTCACGTGTTTTCCTCTTCCATTTCTTTTACACTTTTCCAGTTACAAGAATTACACCCTCGTGACTGTCTTTGGAAATCTGAATCAGGCCCAGCTGGGTGGGGTGCCTGGGACTTACCAGTTGGTTCGAAGTTTCCTGAACATTAAGCTTCCAGCTCCCTTGCCTGGACTGCAGGTATGGGCCGTTTTCTCCGTGTGGTCATTTACACCTCCAGCGTCTTCAGGTCAAGTGAGGTGTGCAGAGACTGTCGTGCGGGGCAGAGGGGAGAGGCCGGGGGGCTTGGAGGCCGGTGGGGCAGGAGTCCCGCCGATGGTGGTGCTGCTCAGCTCAGGGTGGGCGGGGGCACCGAGCTCCGTGGGGATTTGGGGGGGTGGGAGGGTTCCCTGGGTCCTGAACCTGTTTTGAACACGGAACCAGTAGGACTTGTGGAAGAATTTGGAGGTGGGTGTGAGAGGCAGGGTCAGGGAAGACTCCTGAGATTACTGGCTCTGACAGAAGACTAGATGCTTGGGATGCGGCCTTCCTTCTCGGGTCACCGCCCACTTGGGGGAATGACCTTACAGTCACTTATCGTACTGTGTGCAGCGTGCTGCCGAGAGTGGTGGGTACTAGGAGGCTGGCTTCCTGCAGGAGTCCAGCTTCACCTGCGCTGGGAAGGCAGGGGCTGACCGGAGTGTGGGCCACGTGGTAGGGCTTGGCAGGCAGCAGCCAGCGGGTCTCGGCCTTGAGTGTCAGGCTAAGCACTTTGGATGTCAGCAGCTCCAGGGGGTTTTCTCTTTTAAAGATTTTATTGTCAGAGAGAGGAAGGGAGGGAGAAAGAGAGGTAGAGAAACATCAATCAGTTGCTTCTTGCACACCCCCAACTCAGGACCTGGCCCTCAACCCAGGCATGTGCCCTGGCTGGGAATTGAACTGGCAACCTTTTGGTTTGCAAGCTGGTGCTCAGTCCACTGAGCCACGCCAGCCAGGGGGTTTAAGTGAGGGAGTGACATGATCAGATCTGGCTTTTGGAAAGAGTCCTGCCAGGGGTGGGTGGAGGGACAGAAAGGAGGTCTGCAGCCCTGCTGCTGAGATCGACGGCAGAGCCAGACTCAGGACAGATGAGCTCCAGGCCTGGGCCCATGGGGACAGGGCTGCCTTCTCAGATCCCCGGCACCTAGCACAGTGTCCGGAACAGAGATACTCAGTATGTGTTTGGATGAAAATGCCAGTGTCCTTTTGGCTGATCAGTGGTAGTTAACATTTTACAAGCTCAAGATTGATAGATAGTCTCTTGTGGTCAGCAAAGGTCTTCGTCCCTCACCGGTGGGGAGTTGTGGGAGTGTGTGTCTAAGTTGTCATGGAAGAACATGTTATATGATTACTGCAGGCTACTGGGGTTCCGTGGAGGTGCCACTGGTTGGCTCTGAACCGGGTGGGATGCACAGCGATCAGAGGGAAAACTTCAGAGCCGGACTGCCAGTTGCCGAGTTACCTTAAACACTTACTGCTCCCGTGCCTCAGTTCTCTCATCTGTGAAACAGGAGGAGGCCATGTGGCCCCCACGTTTTGGGGTCGTGGTGAATACTGAGTACAGGAGAGGGTCAGTGTATCAGAAACCCATCCGCCGGCTCTTGTTTCTGTGTTTACTTGTGTGTCCTTCCTCTTTAGGATGGAGAGGTGGAAGGCCATCCTGTGTGGGCACTAATTTATTACTGCATGCGCTGCGGAGACCTGCTTGCCGCTTCCCAGGTGGTCAACCTAGCCCAGCACCAGCTGGGAGAGTTTAAAACCTGGTTCCAAGAATACATGAACAGCGAGGACAGAAGGTACTGGGACCAAGGTGGTGCCTCCGGAAGCATTGTTCTCTTTTCCCTGTTCATGGCTCAAAATTAGTTTGTACTTGGGAAAAAAGGAAGTTGAGGAAGTGAGCAGAAGGCTCCTGAGAATAACAGTTGAAAACCTTAGAAGGGGAGCCCCATTCTGACCCCCACGTGCTGGGGGAACTTTCTGTTCCGACTCAGGAGCGGCTCTGATGGGAGCGTGATCCAACCTGCTCCGTCAACCCCAGGCACGTGAGGGTACCCATCAGGTGGCGCCGGGTGGCGCTGCCCCTTCCTCGTTAGCGCCAAGCGCTTTCTGGGCAGCCCAACATGCCGCCCTGCACCCTGTGGCTCGAAGGCTGGGGTTAACAGTTAGAATAGACACAGATCACACAGAAGAAATGATAGCGGGCGCCCAGTCGTGCATGTGAGAAGCAGGCAGGACGATTTGCTTGGTGATGTTAATAATGCCAATGATATCGTCTTGGGTCGTATACCCTTGTCTGGTTTGCATCAGAGTAAAGGAGGGGTAATGTTCTGGACTTTGCCCCAGAGGGAGGCCCTAGGGCAGGTGTTTATTCGGGACACGTTCCCACACGGGTGAGGGAGTGGGGAACCCAGAGGGAGGCAGAGCAGGTGCCAGTGGTCGCCATCAGATTAAAGGGGGGTACCACGGCGGTGCGGGCAGGACGGCGTCTGTTACCCTCGGGGGAGGAAGGCTTTGTAACTCTGGTACCTCATTGGGCCCCAGCGCTTTCAGATGCCCTGAGGATCTATAGTGAGTCTAGTGTCTTGTCTGTCCCCTTGTGCCTTAGACTGTCCCCAGCTACAGAGAACAAGCTCCGGCTGCATTACCGCAGGGCCCTCAGGAACAATACGGACCCCTACAAGCGGGCCGTGTACTGTGTCATCGGCAGATGTGATGTCACTGACAACCAGAGTGAAGTGGCTGACAAAACCGAGGACTACCTGTGGCTAAAGGCAGGCGCCTCTTTCTTGCCTGGGCTTTAGTCCCCTCCCTCTGCTCGCATTCTGCCCACAGATTTTACCTGCTTGGTGTATGATGTCAGCGGGGCCACCGGGCTGGTTGGTGTCCTGGGTCCTGGCCCCGTTGTTTGTTGTGTCACCGCAGCTGCACGCCTGGCTCTGGCAGACTCGGGGCCAACGCGCGTGTTTCTCTTGGCGCAGCTGAACCAGGTGTGTTTCGATGACGACAGCACCAGCTCCCCACAGGACAGGCTCACTCTCTCACAGTTCCAGAAGCAGCTGTTGGAAGACTACGGTAAGGCGCCCTGAACATGACCGCCTTCCCCTCATTCACCTGAGTTCACTACTTCCCTTTCCTTTGGGGAAGTCCTCCACCCCGAACGCTGTCTCTCCTTCAGAACCCTGTGGGCCTTCAGACCACAGCACAGCGTGACCTCACGTCTGGGTGGAGGCCATGTGGCCTTAATCAGTGTGACTTTTGGTCACACACAGGAAGCTGTTTTCTTTGAACTGCTCTGGTTGACATTTGCTCAGGGAGGGATAATAAGAGACCTGGCTACTGCTTCCTCGTGAATTGCGCACGGACTCTGAGCACAGATGAGGGAGAAGTAGAGCCCCCACCCTCATGGGTTAAGAATTCTGGGAAGAAGATTCCAGCTACGCAGTGGTCAGCAGTTGTTGACTTCAGGTGTCTGCGCATCTCGGTGGACGGAAGCATCTGAAATCTTCCTTCCGCTCCTTACGGAGTGACTTTACCAACATAAAGGAGCTCAGTAGCCCCTTCGTATTCCATTTTACGGTCCTGAATGCCGTTTCTCTCCCACCTGTGCCAGCAGTTCAGGCTTTGCAACGGGACCCTCCCTGCCAGTCGTGTCGTGAGGTCTGAATAAGGTCACGGAACCGGGGGGGTTCCTGTGCAGTTCTCCCTGTCCAGGCCTGCGTCCCGCCCTGCCTGGGGCCGGCCATCCTCAGACCGACTCGCTCCCTCTCCTCCCCCAGGCGAGTCCCACTTCACGGTGAACCAGCAGCCCTTCCTCTACTTCCAAGTGCTGTTCCTGACAGCGCAGTTCGAGGCGGCCGTCGCCTTCCTCTTCCGCGTGGAGCGGCTGCGCTGCCACGCCGTCCACGTGGCCCTGGTGCTCTTTGAGCTGAAGCTGCTCCTGAAATCCTCCGGACAGAGCGCTCAGCTCCGTGAGTATTTGTGGGCAGTGGCGCCACCGTGACGCATCCCCCATCAGGCGGCAGCGTGCACGTCCCTGCGGCCGCCAGGACTGGGGCCGACGGTGCCCGCCAGGATGACGGTGCCCTGCGAGGCGCTCGTTCTGTGGCCTAGAGAAGGCTGCAGGAGCAGCATCCTGGAGTCATGGGCCTGGGCCCCACCCAGTCACCCTGTGGGCAGGTCTGCGTGGGGTGGTGGAGGCAGGCAGGGGAGTGGCGGCAGTCACCCAGCGTACACCCAGGATGGTCCCTTGTCTCCGTCTTCCCATTCGAAGACCAGCGTGTGGTAATTTACTGCAGAAGGCCGCTGTCCCCACTCTGTGCTCTGAAAGAAGCTGAGGACAGGGTGGTGAAGGGGCTGTCAGAGCTGCCCGACGCTGGCTGGGCCGCAGGACAGCTCCCGCTGGGTCTCCGGACTCAGCCCTCGCAGCTCCTGGCCACCCGGGCCCTAGGGGCGGTGTGGTGGTGACCGGCTCTGTCCCCCACGGTGCAGTCAGCCACGAGCCCGGCGACCCGCCCTGCATGCGGCGGCTGAACTTCGTGCGGCTCCTCATGCTCTACACCCGCAAGTTCGAGTCCACGGACCCGAGGGAGGCCCTCCAGTACTTCTACTTCCTCAGGTAGGCCTCGCTTTGACCCTCCGCTTCAGCTGGTTTGGACCTCAGGTCCACCCCGAAACCACGCCGTCTTTGTCCCCTCCCCGCAGGGACGAGAAAGACAGTCAAGGAGAGAACATGTTTTTGCGCTGCGTGAGCGAGCTGGTGATAGAAAGTCGAGAGGTGTGTCGGTTTCCTTGTCCCCCCCGCCCCACCCCCATTGTCAGCGTGCACCTTCTCGGCCAGTGGGACACTGCAGGGTCCCCTCAGTGCGGTCTGGGTGGCTGTGACCCGGGGGAGCTGTAGAGTCCTCTTTGGTTTCTGACAATAACTCACTGTTTCCTAGTTAATGTAAGACTTCCCTCACCTCCCCTACTTTCTTCCCCTTTTGTCCCCAAAGAATGGTGGGTACGCGTATGTCTTGTGCAGTAAATTGAGGAAACTTCTTTTGTCTCTGCAGTTCGACATGATTCTTGGGAAACTGGAGAGTGATGGGAGCAGGAAGGTGGGTTAAACACACCCCCGGGCATGTGTTAGTTTGCAGTTGGGGTTTATAATTGTCCAAAGAGTGTGGTTAGGTTTTAGAATTCAAGGTGCTAAAGATGCAAATGTGAATGAAGTTGCTTGGTTTCAAAAACAAAGAATGAATTACAGGGCTCACGTGGATGACCTTGATCTTACACACATTTCTGTTTCTCCTTAAAATATGTAAATTGGCGACTAGGCAGCTTTTATATTCAAAGTAGTCTGTTTACCGTCATTTTCTGAGCTAGGAAAGCGACGTATCTGTCACTTTTGGCTCAGGGAATATGCAAGAAAAGAAATTGGTTACTGCACCTAGTCTCCCGGATGGGAGAGCCAGAACATGCTTCTCAGAAGGCAGGGCCTTCTCTGAGGGCTCGGGACCTCGCCCTGACCCTGAGACGCAGCTGCGCCGTGGGCCCCCGCGGCGGCCCGAGACTCGTGTGCCCGCTGGCAGCCCGGCCTGTTCTAGCGCACTCCTCCCACCCCCACTTTCCTCCCGTGTCCGAATGGTGGCTTGGGCCCAGTGTCCTCATTGCGAGCTCACACTGTCCAGCCAGAAGTGAGGCCGGTGGCCATGCCAAGGAGACAGCAGCCGTGTCTGTTGAGCAGTGACAGTCACCAGGTGCTGTGCCGGATGCAGGGCGGGTATCTTTTATCTAATTGCCGAGAGAACTCAGGAAGGTTGGAATCCTTATTATCTGTGTTTTCCAAGTGAGGAAGTGGAGATGAGAGAGGTTAGTTATTTACCTCAAGATCCCACAGCTAGTAAGAAGGGGAGCTGGAATCGGACCCCAGAGCTCCTGCCCTTCGCTGATCCATGCTGCCTCCTGGGTGGCGGGTGCGTGTCCCCGACCTGGTCCTGTGCCAGCAAGAGCCAGAATGGCCAGTCGGGCGTCACGCGAGCCGCCCCAGCCCTTCTGTGGTTCCCGAGGCCCCCTCATACCCTCCTGGTCATTCAGTCTCCGCTGAGTGATGGCAATTTTTAAAAAAAATATCCTGACCCCACTTGTCATGCATACTTTGAGCGCTGAGTTTCTCTTGCCATCCGTCTTAGAAAGCAAATCCACCACCTCTCAGGCACTTTTCCTGAGTTTTCGATGTTACCCCTGGCGCCTGCTCATCGGCAAGTCACAGGTTTCACCCACGCCCGGGTCGTTCTGGAAAGTCAGGAGGCCCAGCGTCTCATCGCCGACCCCTCTGTGCTGCCGTCTCCCTCCCTGGTGTGGTTTCCTCGGCCCCGTCACGCATTAGATGAGCCCTCACGTTAGGGAGCCGGAGCCTGGCCAAGGAAATGTGCACGTTGCCCCGGGCAAGCGTTTTCGGTTCAGTAGCTTCCAGACCCAGGTGCTTCCCGCCTTTAAATAACAGCTCTGTGCACCCATCTCTCCCTCTCCCCCCACCCCCTCCTTAATTCGTCTTGTCAGCCTGGAGTCATAGATAAGTTTACCAGCGACACAAAGCCTATTATCAACAAAGTCGCTTCCGTGGCTGAAAACAAAGGGCTCTTCGAGGAAGCAGCAAAGCTTTACGATCTCGCCAAGGTAAAGTGCGCCCTTCCGCCTGCTGCGCCTCATCGACCTGCCGCCTTCTGGTGTGAAGTGCACGGATGTTCCGGGGGTGCCATGGCCCTACCGCTCCCCCTGTGAGGCCCTTTCCCTGGTGCGCAGGCAGCCAGCCGTCCAGTCGGGGTGGACTTCCCACCCGCAGACTTCTTCCTGGCCAGACAGAAGTGGGTGTTGCCGGTGTGTCCTGTGGGCACTGAGCTGTCGTCTCGCTGGGCAGCAGAATAAGCGTCCGCCACATTTCAGTGGCAAAGCTGCTCGTGGAAGTGCCATGGTGCCTGCCCTCCGGGAGGCCGCAGACACGCTGGTGGGTCAGAGTGTGGCAGGAAGTCGAGGGGCAGTGGGGGCGGGGGTGGAGGAGGTGGGATTCTCTCTCTTGCAGCTGGGAAGAGTGAAACGAGGCTAATTCCTTATTTTTTATTTTGGGTCTAGCTGTGCAGATATTAAGTGTCTATATCAGGGTATAACTGCTCCCCAGATACAGAGCAGTTCCGTCCATCGCCCCAGAAAGTCCCCTCTTGCGTCGGTTGCTTAGTTTTTCCTTTTCTTGGCTGTGTGCCTCCCCCTGAATTTAAAATCTCGAACAGAACGCCGACAAGGTGCTGGAGCTGATGAACAAACTGCTGAGCCCCGTCGTCCCCCAGATCAGCGCCCCGCAGTCCAACAAGGAGAGGCTGAAGAACATGGCCCTCTCCATCGCCGAGCGGTAAGGCCGGGCGCCGGCGGCCACCCCATGTGTGTCTGCAGCGTCACTGGTGACCCCCCAGCACCCCCAGAGTTCTGTTTCCCCGCCCCATAACCAACACTCGCTACCAGCAGACTTCAGGTGTTTTCCCAAAAAAGAGGGTAGGAGAGGGCACCTCAGCGTCCTCATCCCGCACATCAGGTCTGGCTGCGGGCGTTGCATTCATCTCCGCACTGTCACCAGCAAAGGCGTCTGGGAGCAGAGCTGGTGACGGCGGGCGGGGCGCTCTTACAGGGGAGTAGCCAGCGTTTCAGAATCAGCTCCTCCTGAGACCAGCGGAGTCACCACACTGGACTCGGTGTGGCTCCCGGGCTGAGGCGGCAGGCGTGCCTTTTGTGCCCTCCCTGGTTCTCCTAATGAAGTGAGCCAGGAGTTGGGGTGCTTTCCTGGGGCAGCACAGAACACCGTACTTTGGCAAGTGACACATGTCCACAGAGCAAACCACCCCCAGGGATGGTGGCTGAGGCTAGAAACCGTTGCTTCGTAGAAAACATTTGTCGGGGGATTCATGCCAGGCCCGCTGTCAGAAGCACAGCCATTTCAAAAAGAAGCGCTATTTTTAGTCCTTCCTTCACCTCCTGTAGAGAGTTCAAGAGGTTCTGACACTTCCCAAACGCTGTCCTCAAGTTCCAGGCCGCACAGAAACTCACAGCATGCCCTCGGCCCCTTCTGTCTGTCGTCTTCCAGGTACAGGGCCCAGGGCATCAGTGCCAACAAGTGTGTGGACTCCACGTTCTACCTCCTGTTAGACCTGATCACCTTTTTTGACGAGTACCACAGCGGCCACGTGGACAGAGCCTTCGACGTGAGTGTTGGGAGGGGCGGGGGAGGTGCAGGGGAGCGTGCGCCCTGGAAAACTCACAGCGGTGCGTGGGAGTGACGTGGCGCCAAGGGGGCGGCACCGGGGTGCCTGTGGCATGTGGGAATTAGGTCGGTCAGCAAGTCGGCATCGAAGCCTTGGTTTTCTGTAGGAAGCCCGGCACGAGCGGGTTCAGTGCTGGCTGTGACATTTGCATGGCTGGGTCACAGGGGCTCTCGGGTTTTTCTCTCAAACAGATCATTGACCGTTTAAAGCTGGTGCCCCTGAATCAGGAAAGTGTGGAAGAGAGAGTGGCCGCCTTCAGGAATTTCAGTGACGAAGTGAGTCCCTCGCTTCCTGAGCTATGGAATCCTCTTCCCTGCTTCCACCAGAAGCGTTGGTTTTACCGTAGCCAGTAACTCTGGGGGCCCCGGCACAGCGGCCATCCAGGCTGAGCTTGCTAAGGCGAGTTCAGTGTCCCGTCCCTGGGCCGGTGCTGCCGTGCCTGTGCCTGTCCTGTCAGGTCACTGTCCTAGTTCCCGACTCAGGAAGCACAGTCCCTCGGTGATCAGACCTGCTGGTGGGAGAGAGGGGTCTCTGGCTGGTCCCGTGAGGCCTGGTGTAATGCGTCACTGTCCACCTCTGCTCACCTGTGATCTTCCTGAGGCGTTCCATTCAGTGAAGAGCACTAACCTCTTCCCCACTCCGAACCGTTTTGTCTGGGAAGCAGGTGGGGTGGCCGTGGACTAGTTACTGGCCTTGGAGCCGCAGAACCACTGCCCCTCGGCAGTTTCTAGCCTGCTACCACCATCTAGTCTACGGGTACTCCGCTGCACACTGGAGTTGCTGGGAGAGCTTAGAAAACTCTTCATGCCCAGGCCCTGCACCCAGAAGCGCTGTCCTCCCTCATCCGAGCCGCAGCCCCCCTCCTCCCTGCCACTAGTCCCGTGTGCAGCTGGGGCAGGACTCGTTGTCTTTATGACCACAGACACACAGGGCCAGCCGATGTGTCGCTAATAGCGTTTCAGTTTAAAACTCTCACTCAGTAGCCAGTACCTTTTGTAAAGCCAGGTTCCTGTGCTAGAGGAAGAAGGAAGGCCAGCTTCCGCACGTGCGGGGGGGTGTGGCCCGCCACGGCCCACAAAGTTGAGAAGGTCTGGCCCCTCGCCACCCTCCCCTCGCCCGCTGTCATCCGCCCCAGCCACTTGTTCTTCTGTCGTTTCCTGTCCTCTGGACACGTCGTTCATGGCCCAGGTGCACCGGCGCCCGCCCCTGTAGGCAGGCGCTCCCAAAGGCGCTGCCAGGGCTGTGAGGGTCCAGGGGAGAGGGTCTGGTGGTTCTGAGACAGGAGTGTCCCTGCTTTCTGTCATTCAGATCCACACTTTGCTTGGTAATTGCCCCGCCAACCTACGCACCGGTCATAGGTGGTCAGCCTGCTGTGGGCCCGCCCCCTGCCGGGGAGGAGCACAGTGCACCTGACCTTCTGAGCAGCGCCTGGGCTTTGCTCTCACACTTGACACCTTGGTGCCATCGCCCACTCCTTGTGACTGTCACTCCCCCCGGCAGCGGTGGATAAGCGGCGTGAGCAGGCCTGCCTGCGGTGCCCGCGCCTGTCCTCGGCCCCGGGCTGGCTCCTCCCTAACCCCACGTGTTTCTCTCTGTGCAGATCAGGCACAACCTCTCAGAAGTGCTCCTTGCCACCATGAACATCCTGTTCACACAGTTTAAGAGGCTCAAGGGGACCAGTCCCTCCTCGGCGCCCAGGCCCCAGCGCGTCATCGAGGACCGCGACTCTGTAAGATCCCAGGGTGGGCCGGACCCGCGCTGAGGCCAGCGCTCGCGGCCCAGGCTGCAGACCCCGTGTCGGGAGCTCCGGGCAGGGATCGCACACGCGTGGGATCGCTGTTCTTCTTGAGCTCGAAACGGAACAGAAATAGACGCGCCGAGCCTGCCAGTGTCACCTTTTACAAAACCGAACAGAACGCTAATCTGCAGTGACCCCATGAGAATCTCCCGCTCATTTTAAAGTCCAGGGGTATTTCGTGAGTCCCAGCACTTTCACAAACCCGGACTGACTTTTGGTCAGCACCTGGATTCGGTGTAACCCCCCATTTCTGCTCTCAGCTGCGCCTCACAGTGACCCCACGGGGCGGTCACTGCCATCCCCACCTTGAGGCTTGGAGTCGGGAAGCAGCTGGCTTCTGTGGGCCCTCGGGTGGCAGGGGAGGAGGCAGGTCTGGGTGCCCCACCCATCTGGCGCCGACCGCTGCCCTCTGGGCTGCCTGCAGGGCCCGGTGTTAGTGGGTCAGGCAGGGTCCGCCTCACACAGGTGCGCTGCCCAGGTGATTTGACCCAAGGGCAGCGGTGTTGGACCCGGTTAAACCGTTCAACCCAGGAGTGTTCTAGCTTTCCCTTTCCCTCAGCTTTCCCACTCAGCATTCAGTGAGGCTCTCAGTGCGGGTTTTAACAGCCTTGCCTGATCTGGGCAGTCAAGAAAGCAGGTCTTTGAAAGCCCTGTCTTCCTCCCCCAGGGGTGCCCCTGGGCACCGTCTGCCATGACCCCTGCAGGCACTGTCATTGACACGCCCGCCCAGTGAGTGAAGGTGGCAGTTTTCACCTTTAGCCTGGGAGGCAGCAGTGCTCGGGCTGGCGCACTGACGTGGGGAGCCCGGCCGAGTGTGCACCCGAGGTGGCTGCTGGCATCGGAAATAGCGCCAGGAGACCTGCCAGCAGCGGGGGCCCTGTGCTGGGGCCTGGGCGGCGGTCTGGTCTGCGTTTGTGTTGGAGGGAGCCCAGGCCGTGCTGCCGAGAGTGCGGTATTGAGGCGACGGGGCAGTTTGGTCCTCTGGGTGCCGCTCAGGGGTCCGCAGAGGCCCACAGAGAGCGGAGCTGGTGGCCCGGCCGGCTTGCTGTCCCCTCTGATGGGAGCTGTTTGGAGACCAGCTGCACTCACCCTGTGTGTGAGGGGTGTGCGGGCTGCCTGCCCAGGAGGCGGCCTCCCGGTTCATGCCCAGGGCCGCCAGCAAGGGGCGCTTTGGAAGAAAACTGAATGGGCATTCTTACCGTAAAGCAGAAGTGTCTTTTGCTTCGGACAGTAGTTAGGACATGTAGTTAGGACATGTACTTGTCCGTGTATTTTACCTGTCAGTTAGGAAGCACTGGCCTTTGTGTTCTTCTCGAGTGGGCTGCGGGAAGGCTCCTTACGGTCCAAAAGACGTTTGTAGACTCGGTCTTTCTCTTTCAGATGTGGCTCCTTCTCTTACAGGTGTAAGCATCCCACAAATCTCAGTTTGGGGCCACAAAGCTGTCCTCCAAAGTTTCTGTCCTCCTCAATCAATTTATCAGTTAGAAATCAGAGTGAAGGTTGTCTTTTAATGTTTCTGTAAACATCTGAGTTAAAATCTTTTTCCTTCCTGGAACAACCCAGGAATCCCATAATATTGTTGCCTGGGAAACGAGGACCAAGCGCTTGGGTCAGGAAGGGATGAAGCAGGAGAGGCGCACTTGCTGGCCTGGGGCGTCCTCTTCAGTGTTGCGGACCCCTGGGGAGTGGACCCCTGGGAAGCAGGTGGACAGAAACCAGCCAGGAGGGTGAGGCCTGGACTCGAAGGGCAGGCGGTTTGAAGCCCAGGGCCGTGGCAGAAGCTGGTCACGTGTCAGGCGAGGCGGCCTGCCTGGCGGGCCCATCTGTCTGGCTCAGTAGAAGGGCTTCGGCACTGGGGCCCCGTGGACGGGCTTTGCTAACCCAGCGCCGAGCCGTCCACCTGCCAACAGTCTGCGCCTGGCACTGAGGGGTAGGAAATGGAAGACCCTCGTGGCTGTTCCCAGCACAGTGCCCCCCTGGAAAGTTAACTGGCTTTCTTTTCTCCCTCTTTCTCTCAGCAACTCCGAAGTCAAGCCCGCGCCCTGATTACCTTTGCGGGGATGATCCCCTACCGGACGTCCGGGGACACCAACGCGAGGCTGGTGCAGATGGAGGTCCTCATGAATTAAGGGCTCGGAGGGGCTCCCGGGACGGCTCGCTGCCAGTGGTCGGGCGCGGGGCCCACCGGGGCGGGGGTTCTGGTTCTGGTTCTGTTTCCATTGTGTTGTGTTTCGTTTTGTTTTGTTTTTTTATTATGTATTTTTGTCAGCACCAATAAATTTCTTTGATTTGTATTTCTTTACACATTTTTTCTTTTCTTTTTTTTTCTTTGAAATTTTGTTTGAATTTTTATTTGTGGGGAAGAAAATGTCTTCGGTAGGTGCTTGGGCCAGAGAGTGACAGGCTTACCGAGGAGTCTGTGACTTGGTTGAAGTTGACCTTAAATGATTAAAAAGTTCACCCAACATGAGCAAGGCAATGAAGGCTTTGGCTTCACTTTTACTTATTTATTTTATTTACTTAGATCTGCCGTTCTCTGTAGCAGGGTCATGGTCTCTCTGTCACATTTTCATTTGGATGTGAAAGCCGACCTGGGTCTCGGGTGAGCTGCAGTGCACGGACGTCCATCACTTCACGTCCCCCCTCTTCTCTCAGGTGTGCTTCGGGTCTGGTGGTCCAGCCCCATCCTCCAGGCCGTTTGCTCTGATTTCAGGATTACGTAGTTTGCTGCTCTCGTGCAGTCCCCTTGGAGAGGGAAAGGTGGGCTTAGAAAGAGACAGCCTTACAGACAGACATCCCAGGTGTCCCCGCCGGGGCCTGAGAAGGGCAGCCTCCCGCTCGCCCCAACCCCCGGAGCTGCCCAGTGAGAGATGACCACAGGCCTTGTGCGCCCCCCCCCCCCCCAGAGGAGTTGGAAGCCCTTCCTTCCCTTCTCTGGCCATCAGCGCCTCTGCTTGGGCCCTGAAGCCGCCGGGTGGCTGGGCAAGTTCGCAAGTCCCGCTCTTGAGTGTCGGGCACCTCTGGACATCATCGACAGTGGGATACACCTGTGTGGTCCTGAGCAGAGGCTGTCCCTTGTCATCGGCTCTGTTTCTCACCACCGGTCCTGTAGGCCGGGTCTGAACTGGAGCAGAAGTGAGGACGAGGGTTTGTCCTTGAAAGGGCCGGCTGGGGCCACGAGGGATCAGCTCTGCTGGTTGCGTGGACTGTGCCTGAGGTGGGCTCTCCCGGGAGGGTGTGGAGCTCCCCGGAGTCTCCAGAGGTGCTCCCTGCTCCTAAGGAGAACCCTCCCCCTCGTCACAGGGCACGGTGGCCCTTGCCACCCTCTGATGGTTAAAATAGTGCTTACTTTCCTTTTGGGGAAAAGCTAACGTGTAGATAATGGGGCTTGGGTCTTCATCTGTTGGACTCCATCTCTGTCGAGCGTGAGCCTCGGGGTCAGCAGGGGCTGCTGCTTCTGCCTTTGACCTCCGGTCCCATCATCACCCTGGAGCGCTCACCCTCAGCTGAGCTTGGCTAAGAGTCCGGACAGGTGAGCCCCGCGGGGGACCGGATTGGACCAGTGGTGCCCTGTTTGTATGTACTGATTGATGTAAGCAAGTCAGACGACTGGCTTTGACAGTGCTCTAACACAAAAACAGTGCTCTGCACTTTTCCTAAAGTGCGACAGGGTTGTTTCTTTGTTTTGTTTTAAATATTAGGTCTTGTAGATAGAAATACAACGATGCCGTAGACGAGAGAATGCTCCCTGGCTCGCTCTCGGCTCCTCTTTCTGACCAGCAGGCTTCATGGTGCATTTGACTTCCCTCACATCCTGTGGTCCAGCCAGCTCCCAAGAGCAGGACTGCACGGGGGTCTGCTGGGGTCCTCCGTGCTTTGGCTGTAGACGAGACCCAAAATCAGCAGGGACAGGAAAGCCCTCGCCCCTGGAGCAGCCCAACAGGGGAGACGTGGGGCTGAGGGGAAAGCCCAGTTGGTGTCGGAGGACTTGCCCGGAGAGGGGAAGTCCCACTTGGAGGGGAAATAAGACAGCAGTTCATGCCAGACGGGCCGGGTTCACAGAGCAAGTCCCGGCGCTTGAGCTGCCAGCTGGTCCTGCGGTCAGGCGCGGCCTGCTGGGTCCGGAGATGTGGGAGAGACGGCTGCGTGTGCAAGGCCACACCCTCAGCAGGTTCCTGTGTGCCCATGGTGCTCGGGGGTCAGGATCCTGTGACGGTCATCCACCTCGGAGTCATCCTCAGCCCACCTGTTTGGGAATCTAAATCTTGCCCCTCGACATCGGTCCATGAGTTTACGTTTTGCCCAGAGAAACGGGGAAATTGGCACTGAGAGTCTTTTGTCTTTCATTGGGGCGGGTCCAGTCTGCTCAGTGAAGTCGGGGCACTCGGAGGTGAGGTTCGTGCCGGCCTCAGAGCGTTTTCCGTGAGCCGAAGGGACGTACGGGCTCCATCTGGGTCCTTGCAGAGGCCTCGGCATTCCATCTCAAGGAATCTGTTCCTTTGATTTTTTTTTAATATATTTTTTTAATTTTATTGATTAAGCCATTACATTTGTTCTATTCCCCCCCTTCATTCCCCTCCACCCTGCACACCCCTCCCCCACCATTCCCCCCTTTAGTTTATGACCACGTGTCTCAAGTTCTTTAGATTCTATATTTCCCCTACTATTCTTGCCCTCCCCCTATTTTCTATCTACTGTCTGCTACTTATTTTCTGTACCTTCTCCCCCCTTCTTCCTCCCAGTCCCCTGTTGCTAACCCTGCACGTGATCTTCATTTCTATGGTTCACTCCTGATCTAGCTGTCCTCTTAGTTTGCTTTTGTTTTAGGTGTGGTTGTTAATAACTGTGAGTTTGCTGTCCTTTCACTGTTCATCTTTTTTATCATCTTCATCACCAAGCCCTTATTATATGAAATGATTTTTTTTTTTTAATGAAACAACTCTGCCTGCCTGACTTTAAAGGGAAATCGAGGGAGCTCTTTCCTAGGGAATCCTTTGGTTTTGTCGTCCACAGAGCGGGAGGTGCCCATTCACTGTGGGCCCTGCCCCGGCCTCCAAGAACTCCGTCCAACTGGAGACGGCAGCAGCAGTGCGGCCACCTGCGGCCGCCACGGTGGTTCTTTCTTTGAGACATCCCTGCACTTCTGGGCTCAGGTTACTTGAAACCGTACTCTGGACCCCTCCCCGCAGGAGCCACCTCTCCTGCCTGCTTTATTTCAGTAAACTCCTGGTCAAACCCTGAATACGAAATTAGCGATCACGCATGGATGTGCCGTATGCCCTGCCGCCTTAGGTGGGTCCCACAGCCCTTGTTTCTCCGTCAGGGATCCCAGCCTTCGCCTGGCGTGTCAGGTAGTTCACGTCGCTGCCAGGTTTCCATGGCGCTGCTCAGAAAGTGACGCAGGCCCACTGAGTGCTGACCCGAACCCCAGGCTGGTGCTGGTGGGCCCCGCACTGACGGGCTCTCGGCCTCAGCTGCCCGTGGAGCCTGACTGAGCCCCGTGTCCCACCAACTGGGAGGTGTTCCCTGTTAGTGTTCTCATGGAAATGTGAGATTTATGGCATCCTCCAAATGCCCATTTTTACATTAGTCCAATGTGGCCTTCACGCCTGCATTTCAGGTGTAGCAGGAAGAAGTTGGCAATGTCGGGCTGTTTCCAGGGTCCCAAATGCCCCCCACTCTTCATTCTTCTAGGCTGGACTCAGAAGTCAGTGGCCCCCACCCCACCTTCTGACAACCTCACAGCACCCTGCACAGGGTGGGGTGGGGACGAAAGGACTCTGCTTGCCACTTGGTTCTTACTGCACAGATGGGTGGGAAAACCTGAAAACCACTGACTAAAACATTTTGAAAAGAAATTTCACATGACCTGCGCTTCTCCTTGCCTGGTTATGTGTCTGTTGTGACTGGTGGACACCCAGGGCCTGGCCGGCCGAGCCCCGTGTACTGGAGTGTCAGCCCAAGTTCGATTCAGCCATCCACAGCCAGGTAATAAAGTCCCCATTCCAAAGTCATTCATGAGTCCAGGGAAGGTGGGCTCGCTCTTCCAGGTGTCTTTGCGGAAGCATGGATGGTGCTAAGTCACTGCCCATGAAAGGGGGATCTCCATCCTGTCCTAACTTTGAGTCTTGAAGTCGCTTCTACGGGCCCTGTCCTGGGCGTCTCACCCACAGTGGATGCTCAACAAATGTCTGGGCAGATTCTTTGGCCCCCGGGCCAGCTGCTGCTCTGCACCCTCTGTTCCGCCTCCCAGTGCCTGGAATCTCGCTGTTTGGACAGGGGCCCCCACGAGGCATTCGGTGTGAAAGGGCTGCGGAGAGGGGTGTCTCTCGGGGTTAGATAAAGCGGGCCTGCTGAGTCCGCAGGGAGTCGTGCTCTGCTGTAAACCACAGCAAAGACCAGATATTTAAAACGTAAAGAGGGGACAGGGAGGGCTAGCCCGGGATTGCATGGACTCACTCTGTCCTCCCTGTTGCCCTGTTTCTTTGGAGGGGCGGGGGAGGAGTTTGCCTCAGAGCAGGAAATAGGGGAGCCGGTGGGGAGAAACAGACATATGCAGCCCCTTCGGGGCCCCAGCAGAGCCAGCCCAGACGGGTGCTTGGGGTGGGGGGAGGGCCTGTAACTGAGGCCCCTTCATCTGGGCTGGATTTAGCACATGAAAGCACAGGACAGGGAGTAAATGCGAATTCCAGGTAAAGGACGAGTAAGTTCTCAGTAGGGTACGTACCAGTTGTATCCGGCTGCCCCTCCAGGCTGGTCTCTCCGGCGGCTCGGCCCGGGCCACTCAGAGCTCTGCAGCTACATGGGCTTACCCCGACTTGTCCCACTGCTTGTGCTTCCGTAGGCCACGGAGGTGACGGCACGATGTGTGATGTGACTTGGGAGAGGACTGTCACTGGGACCCGGTTTAGAGGAGCCAGGGGACGGGTTGAGAGGGGACTGGGCCTCAGCCGCCGGGGCCGCCGGGTGTTTTTGGGTCGGGAACTTCAAACGTGCGTTTTATAAAGAAGCAGGCAGAGCCCAGCCTTTTTCTGCTTGATCAGTAACTTTCATCAGAAACACACTGGGGAGAGTTGTGTTTTACTCAGTTGACCGATTATTTTCTTTCTGTCTTTGCCTTTCTGACATTGTCACTCTGTGTGGTGTCCGTGGGGAGAAGGGACAGGGTGGGCGAGCGTCGGTGTATGCGGTTTGCCTGTTCCTTCCTGTGCAGTAACTTCTGCGTTTACTCTGTTTAGGATGGTTCCTTGACCACCACCCCTGTCTGTAGCCAGTGCCTTTCTGGAATGTTCTCCCAAAGTG